CATCTGATTAACATAAAGTTTATACTGTAAAAGTTATATGAACTTAAAGTGATATTGTGTTACTTTTATGAAGTTAATAAGAGTGGTGTTTGTGTAATCAAGTGAATATAATGTTATTGAAAAATAAACTTGTTTTATTCTCTCACCTACCTAAAATAAAGAAATTTTTTTTCATATATACATTTTATTTCATTAATAATGGTTGGATCATCATGACCTGTCAATATGATCATGAAATTCCTCCCATTTGGCCACCCTCTAGAGAACATGGAAAGAATAGTAATGCGAGATATTTGCCACAGCAAAAATTTCGTTAAGTAATCCTTTTCAAAAGCAAAAAATTTTGTTAAGCAAAAATAGACTTGTACTCGATTCATTGAGAAATCAATAAAAATTTTAATTCACTAACTTTTTCTTGAGTTTTTGAAATAATCTCACCTTATAAGAACTAGCATTATGATAATAACTTGTAGCACTAGATACTCTCCAAACTCCTCTAAAACTTTATCAAGATTCCAAAAATAACTCTAAATCATTTATCTAATTTGTTGCTTCAACATAATTGAAAAAAAAATAATACATTTCAAATTTACATTTCAGGGCATTCCCTAATTTCATTTCAATATAGCTCTTTGGGATATAGGTTTGATTACAACATTACTTTACAGGAGATCAAACCATGCACCCATGCTTTTAATGTTTATTTCTTTTATTCATATAATAGTGGAGCACCTTGGATGGCCAAAGAACTCTGTTGCAATCATTTCTTCCACAATTTGGTATGTTGACTTTTTTTTTATTCCCTCTAATTTTTGACTGATCAACGCTTTTTATAATAATTGCAGGACAATGAGCTCGAGATATTCAGGGAAGTCAGGGGAAATGATGTGCCAATGTGGACTACCGTCATTGCTTTTCAAATAACGACAGACACATAGTTATGGGCGATAATTCTACAGGTGCCCCCGGTGGGGACAATGACCAGATGATTGCAAATTCTTCAGGTGGGCTGACAGTGGAACTATTTCTACCTGCTCCCACTTGAACACAACTGCTAGGAGTTCAATAGTACCACAACGGGAGAACGCCACATGTGGTTCGAGTTCTTTTGTTTCTATGATATCACAGTCGGACAGGTTTTTTAGGGTTCTGGAGTGTCAGTTGCAAGTGGCATGGGCCGTCATATGCTGATACATTATAAAGTTAACATTATCATATTTTTTACTTATCATTTTAACATGTTATTTTTTCTTATTTATGGGCTCTTATTACACTTTGTAGTAGTATGTGCAGGTGTGTTTGACTTTTGTATGTGTGACATATTCGTTTGATGTGATCACATATATTTTAGTTATATAAATATAAATCAACATTTTGGTATTTTCTTGTCTGAACAGTGATCTTTAATTTTGGATCTTTAATTTTGTTGAGAAAAGAATAGATTCTGTTGCACAGATTATTCATTTAATTAAAAAAATGTCCAATTAAGCTGTTTACAAAATGCACTAACCAAACAGCTAAACGGTTTATTCAGAACAAGGGCAGAATGGTCAATTTTTCAGAATCAGTTGTTTTCCATAAGCGCCAACCAAACAGCCAGACAGCTTATCCGGATTAGCTGCTCATTAGCAAATTATCAGGATAAGCTACTTATCAGCAGAAGCTGGATAAGCTGCAGCTGCCCCAAACAGACCCTAAATATTGTAAAGTGACAAATAGGAGCAATCCTTTTTTTTTTCTCATCTTTACGAGTGAAAACAACATATAACTATTCTTTCTTATCTTTCAGAGTTTGGTCCTTAAATCCGTGGTTATGCTGGGAGGATACTGGCTCTCACTCAATAGCTCCCATTTCTCCTCTTATATTGTATGTTTCTCAACAAATTTTAAGAATTCAATTGGCCAGATTAAAAATTAATTAAGATCAGAGTTTGAATCATCACAATTTTGAAAATTCAAACCTCTTCTGACATGCATCCCAAAATCATAATATGAAACCTACTAATTGCAAAAGAAAGTGCAAGGAAAAAAATGACATAACATGCTCATGTCACTATTTTCTAATAAGTATAAAATTAAGAAAAACTACACAAAAAGCAAGAAGAAAACACAATGCTAAATTTCATTACATCAAAGCAAACCCTATAGATAAGTGTTTACAAAATTAGATAATGAAGAACACAATACTTAGCTATTTACCCTTGAAAGAATGATGATGATCTCTTCCAAAAAGTTTCTTGCTAATCCATGCAATACTAGTACAAATCCTTATAGACTCTCTCAAAATCCCCTCTCCAATCACTCCAGAAAAAGGATAGATTCTACATTTCTACTCTTAGTCTAAGATCCCTAAGCATTCCTCTCAATTTTCCCCTCTTTTACCCTTTTGATAATAGGCATCAAGCCCCTCCTTTTAAAGAGACATAAAAATTCATTCTTTTTCCCTAAAGACACATATTTTTTATCTAAGAGATAAATCTCTTCATCCAGGAGACATCTCTTCATTCAAGAGCATTTCCCAAGTTTCTAGATTCATTTAACAACTCCATGGAGCGTGTTAGTTGTTTGAAGTCTTCTAGAACTTCATAAAATAGTCAAAAAAATCCAAAACCACGTCCTTAGTAGTCTTTGGTGCCTCTAGCACTAGTTCTCTAGATTTTGGCACCTCTGGCACTAGTTTTGGCACCACTGGCGCCACTCTGCAGCACATCCACCGTTTTACTTTGTTTGGCTCCGTTTTAGCTCTATTTCACCCAATTTCAGTTGTGTTTCATTAAAAAATATGTAAGAAATGTGAAAACAATCTTTTTTTAAAGTGTAATTCTTTTAAAAAGCATGTGATAAATGTAAAGGATATTAAGCATAAAAAGATATATCAAAATGTGTCAGGTTAGATTTTTTTTCTTGCTCATTTTTACTCAAAATTGTTCCATTTTTGCTTCATTTTCTCCAAAAGATCATTTCTTGTACTTGTATATAAGAAAATATAAAATACTTTTCAATAAAGTGTGATATCATCAAAAATGAGCATAAAATATATATATGAAAAAGTAGGTAATTTTTAGTTGTGTCACACAACAAAATTAATTCTTCACAAAGCCATATTTCATGGTAGGGAGAAGGTTAAAGAAGACTCTCAGAATTCATGAAAAGGATATGATAAAACTTAGATTTTATATATAAAAATAAGTTTACAAAATAAAGAAAGGAAGGAACACGACATATCTTACACTCCTACTCAAGCAAACCCTTAACGTTCTCTTTAAGCACTTTTGCTCTTTGCAATCACACACACTTCTTTCTTAAATGTTACTGGTTCTTAAGTGACTCTTTTAACAAATAAAAATATGACTTATGGTATAAATTAAATTATAAACTTCTTTGTATTGGTTTAAAAAATATAGTAGTATAACTTAAGAAAAAATTTTAATAAGATAAGTTAAAACTAAAAGCATAAGAACACCTAGTAGTCAAGTCTAAGATTTTTGAGTTTCTTTTCATTTCAAGAAGAAATGTAATATTTCATATCAAAGATACATAGAATGTCCATATGAAGAAGAATTTCATGAAAATTTTATTAGTAAGGTTGGTAATCTTCCAATATAAGTTTATAAAACGTAATAAAGCCTTTTTCTTCAAGTTGATTCAAGTGTAGCCATTTTTTGATTTGGCATTTCCACAAGCTTCTCCTCACATATTTTCATTTTTTTCTTTTCTTTTCTTTAGGATCATTTTTAATCCTTTCTTCTCTTTTATTTTTCATCTCTTGCTCTTTAGGATCATTTTCAATCCTCTCTTTCCTTTTTTTTTTAATGTGAGGATTACTATATCTGGATATCCTTTAATAATTTTGAACTTCACTATCCTCTTCTTGAAGTTAAAAACTTCTTAACATCCTTCACTTTATAAATTCATATTGGCGTTAAAATTTTTTCATAAAGTTTCATTCTTTTCCTTTTATATGAAACTCTAAGATTCCTAATAGTTTAGAAAAACAAATTTCATTTATTTTAAATAGAAAAAGGCATAGTCTTATCCTTTCATACTAAATATCTTAATTATAGAATTGACCTTCATTATTAAATATTTTTTCTTAAATTTTCTATAATATTTAAAAACAAAAAATATTGTTATTTAAAGTTTGACTCTAATTCCAAATTTCATGTTAAATTAATTTTTATAAATATAGCTAATATAGGACAAATAAAATTTAATTTTCTTCTTTCTAAAGAAATTTATCTTTCCCCCCAAACATAAATTTGTTTTTAATAATGAGTAAATTATTCAGTACAATAAATGTAGCTGGAAAGAAAAAAATAAATGCAAAAAAATAAGACTAACCTGTAGAGGGTTCTGAACATGAAACTTGGCTCTGCACATTGCAGGTACTAATTTCAAAAGTACAAGCTTTGAAGCATTAAATGAAACATAATATATCATCAAGATTTTCTAAGCAAAGGTAGATTAAAAATATCAGCAGTAAATTAAAGAAACAAATAATAATGAAATAAAAATCTACAATTATGTTCTACACAGACAAACATGTTTAATAATACTATTTACAAAACAGTTGAATATCCAAATCATAACAACAATAACAAATGAAACAAATAACAATGAATGAAAATAGATAAATCCTAAAAAATCATCATTCAACATCTTCCTTCTCTTCTTCTTCCTCTTCCTTAAAGTTATCTTACACAAACGGCGTAAAGCACGGGCACACCCCGAAGATATTTAACCATAGCGTCTTGATATGGAATAACATGTTGAACTCTTCTCTACTGATAATCATCATTATGAGCATTCCTTGACTCCAACTACCTATTATATTCTACATTTTGATTATATCTAATTACTGAATAATTAACTGTTTCATATTGTTTTCAAGTGAATAAGTACTTGCAATAGATGGTCTTGCGGTTGATGTAGAAGGCCTATCACTACTTATAGTTTTAGATCTAGTAAATGATTCAAATTTATAAACTGTGGGTTTCCCAATAGGTTTAAGTTGTTGTAGCATTTCTTCATCCTAATCGAACTCTACTCTTGATTGTTCACATAAGGTGACAATCAGTGCAGGATAACCTAACCACTAGTGGTTCCACTCCTAGCAATGTTATGAGCATTATGTAGAATGAGAGCACAAAGATCAACATCCTTCATTTGTTGTATGCAAAAGTTTCAATACTGCTCTCTCCTTGGTTACTTCGCTAAGGTGATTAGATGGAAGAACTTTCACAGAGACAAAGTAATAGCATGCTTTAGATTGCACATTTAGCATGGAAGTGGAAATATTCACCTTGTGATTATTCTTAATTCTCCATACTCCCCTTCCATCAGTAAGATAGGAAAATATTTCATTAGTGATGAATTAGAAATCACAAATGCAGATACTCACAATGAAATTTGTTGTGCAACTAGTTTAGTGTATTAATGCTTTCTCGAGGAAATTCAATAATTTTACCTCTAACATAAATGTGTTTATCGGAAGTCACATAAAGATTGGCATAAAATTCTTGAATGACAGAAATAATTCCTACTACGTTGAAGTAGCAAAATGTCTTCCAGTTCCAAGAAACAATTAGTCTTTCAGTTGAACCTCCCAGGTTTGAGAATGCACGCTTCTGAATCAATTTTTTTATACCCAACTAAGTATTGTAATTATACTATTTTTTCAAATTAACAAATCATCTGGGATCACAACCTCTCAAAGTATTTCCTCTTTTCACTACTGAAGCCATAGAGATTTCTAATTAAATTGACATAAAATCCCAAATAAATGCACATTATCGATAGTCAAACTCCAAAAGTGTCTAAGGTAAAGTGAAGCTCTTAACAAGGAAAAATGAAATTCAATACCTATTAGCCTTGAAATCTCTTCAAATCCAATAAATAGCAAGGCCTAGGTTGTGTTTCGGCCATAATCTAGAGGTAG